ATAAAAATTAATGTGTTTGATCTCACACACTTTGAAGTACATTGTCATACTAAGGAGATATATTTTATGCATTTGCAGATGTATGAGTAAGCATAGAAGCCTATATAATAAAAGCCTAATATGCCAAGTATCTGTTTGTTCGACTGTTTCTATGACGTGCACTGACCACCAGGGGACAGATGCTCTGACCAGTAGGTTAGCTTGCTGCTGGGGTATGGCCAATGGGGACGGGGCAAGAGCGGCCAGACATGTCCAGGAGCCCTCCTGCAGTCCCTTCCTGGCCGGCCAACCTTCTGTGTCCCTCTCCAGCCCTGTTCCGGCAATGGTGGGGTCCCTTGGCCTGGCCTGCACCCTCTCACAAGCCGGGACCCCTTGAGGGATATCGGGGAGCCGATTTCAGTCCAGTCCCTGCAGGCCAGGCTGCGGGACCCCACCGGTGAATGAATCTGTGCACCGAGCCTCTAGTCCCAACTATAATTGAATCAGTGACATTAATTTAGGGAATATTAATAAAGAAAACGTGTTTTTTAAATCCTCATCTAAGGATATGTCTTTTCAATTTTTTAAATATATTTTTATTGATTTCAGAGAGGAAGGGAGAGGGAGAGAGAGCGGGGAACACCAATGATGAGAGCGAATCATGGACCGGCCGCCTCCTGCACGCCCCCTACTGGGGATCGAGCCCACAACCCGGGCAGGTGCCCTGGACGGGGAATCGAACCCTGACCTCCTGGTTCCTAGGTCGACGCTCTACCCACTGAGCAACGCTGGCCGGGCCAGACACAGACATTTAGACAAAATCTAACATCTGCCCCCAAACCATGTATCCATGTCTACACCGATCGTTTATAACACAACGTATAACCCCACTCGGCAAAGAGCGTTCGCCGGGAACACGACATTAGAGGGAAACGTCGTATAGATTCCTGTCAATGTAGACCTGGCTTTATCGACGCGACGCTCCCAGCGACCGTGTCCTAGGTCATCCGTGTCCCACGAACGCCGGCCCGCCCCCGCGAGCTGGCATTTCAAACTGCAATCCGTCTTCCCGCGTGGCTGTTCCCGTTCGATTCCCTCCCGCCGCCGGGAGGACACACCCACTGGGCAGGCTCCCCCTGCCGTGCCTGCACCCCGACCCCACCTCGCTTGGCAAGAGCCCGGCCCCACGGCCGTGGGTGTGAGCCATCGGCCGACGGCCCCCGTGAGGCGGGAAAGAGCGGAATCATTTTCCTTTCTGTCGCCCACACCTTTTACGTACAGAATACAGGCTCTGCATTTATTGGAGCAGTTTGCCTGGCCGGCCGGCTGGTGTGGCTCAGGGGTTGAGCATCCACCTAGGAACCAGGAGGTCAGGGTTCGAATCCTGGTCAAGGGCACAGGCCCGGGGTGCGGGCTCGATCAGTCAGCTCACGACGATTACAAACAGGTTTGGGGGTTTTGTTCTGACGTTAACGTTGACGGAGGCCCCCGCCGGCTGGCTGAGGATGGGCGGGCTGTCCCCCGATCTCATTTAGAATCAGGGCGTAATTATAATTTCCAGGGGGCCCACCGGTGACCCGACATTTCAGATGGAGAGCTACGGAGATGAGAGCGATTACCCTCATTCACACGCTGCATAAGGCGAACGGCTCATTTGCAAAACTGCACGGGCCAGGCGGGTACGTTCCTCGTGAGCCCTACTGTGCGCCCACCGCCCAGAGTCTGGACCCGTGCCCATGGGGGGCGGAGGGGTGTTTGCAGGGTCTGGTCCTTGCTAAG